GGAAATAGACTGTTTGGGTCTGTTTACTTTATTTTTGCTTTGTTTCTTGGGAAAATTAGCGGGCTAACCCGCGGCAAGCCACGATTATGGCCGCGTCTCTCAGCGCCATCCTCCTGGCGCTGGTGTCCTTGTTCATGTCAGCGTATGCTGCACCCACGGAGAGTGAGATCGCCGCCTGACCTCTATATTCTCCCTCTTATGGACTGATTTTCCTAGTTCCCTCAGCCGCATCGTTCTACGTCCCGTCGCTGCCTGACCTCCATGAAGACTCCATACATCCGCTGAAGATATTCGCGGGGCATATTTCGTCTGACCCAGACGCTGACAAGGCGACGGACACCGATGTCACTGCACACCTTTTCTTCGTCATGGTCAGGAACCGTCGCACGGCGGATAAGGACCGCGTCATGTTCTGGTTCAATGGCGGACCTGGATGTTCGTCCTTCGATGGCCTGATGATGGAGAACGGGCCCTGGAGAACGGACGGGAACGGGGGATTCGCCGTGGTGGAGGGGGGATGGGAGGAGTATACAACTTTGGTGTACAGTACGTTGTTGCCTGAATATACGCTGCCATCTAGTTCTAATATCATTTCTGTTATGGAGTCGATCAACCTATAGGCACAGGCTTTTCGTACGGCCCCACAGATAAATATGTTACGTCCATAGAGCAGGTGCAGTACACTAATTTTGTCGCACTTTGTGCGATAATCAGTGACATGTATACCAGGCTTCAGAGCAGCTACTAGTTTTTCTTGGGAACTTCTACAAAGTCTTTCCAGAACTGAAGCCCTTAGATGTGAGGTCTCCAATGCAAGAGCAACTCAATTCAATTCTGATATATCCGTCAGACGTATCTCGGTGGCGAGAGCTATGCAGGCCAATACATACCTTACTTCGGTGTGTTTGATTTTGCTTGCTGCATATGGTGTCTTATGACAAACCTGATGTAACCTACAATAGCCGACGCGATTCTCGAATCTAGTCTGAACATCCCACTACGAGGGGTTGCAATTGGGAATGGCTGGATGGATGCCAGACGGCAGTACCCCGCTTACCCAGATTATCTCGTGAAGATGGGCGTACTGGATGCAACCTCGGATGTGAGTGTCTGAACCTTCGGTGGAGTCATCCTGCCCTTGCTTTCATGCGCTGTAAACGCTCAAATCGACGGTTATACCGGAACCTAATTATCTGACTTCCTCGTCGTTTCTTAACGCGCTTTTGCAGACCTACAAAGCTGCGAAAGTCAAGGTCGATGAATGTGTCAAGGAGCTCGAGGAAATCACAGACGTCGAACCGGTGTCGACTGGCAAATGTGATAGTGTACTCTTTACTGCGGCATCGGTACGCGAGAAAGTGTGAGTAGACCCGTCAACAAAATGCTTCTATAGTTGAAGTTTGTGTCTGATTTTGACATGGTTTGCGCTTTGCTCTCCCTTTTTCATATCCTTCCTCTTCATCTGTTCAGTGTCGACGGCAAGGAGATATGTCTCAACATTTACGACGTACGCCTCGACGATACGAAGCCTGCCTGCGGAATGAATTGGCCACCGGACGTTAAACCTATCACCACATACCTCGACGTGAGCACAGTTTCAATGCCTCTGCCTTTGCATTTTAAGCCCGTCCACCTCATTTTTCTCACTGGATGAATGCTTATTGTTTTTGTATGCCATAGCGTAAAGACGTTGTCAATGCTTTACACGCTGAGGCACATTCAGAAGCATGGACGGAGTGCAAGGGAATCGTACACAGGAAGTTTAATGAGCACAAGTCGAGCTCCTCCATCACCGTGCTTCCGCGTGTGCTGAAGCGTATTCCCGTGCTCATTTTTGCCGGCGATCAAGACTACATCTGCAATTATCTTGGCCTCGAGAACATGATTACCGCGTTGACATGGAACGGAGCGACCGGGCTTGGGGTGCGTGTGCCATTTCTCCCTCATCTTGCACTTTGAATTAAACGTGCTGTCGCAGACGGTAAACACTGAGTCCTGGACAGTGGATGATATGCCGGCGGGGACGTGGGTAACGTCAAGGAACTTGACTTATGTGAAGGTATGCTCTCTCTGACGCTTGAAGACATTGGGTCGATGTCCTTATGCAGATCTTCGACGCATCGCACATGGCGCCTTTTGATGCACCCAATGCAACTCACGACATGATATTACGTTTCATGGGCGTCGATTTCTCAGCTATCAACGAGGGCTCTGCACGCATTCCCAGTAGTGTTGGCGCAGATGTGAAGCCCATCTTCATTGAGAACGACGAGACAGAAAGCAAACCCGCGTCTGGAGGTGCCGGCAATGGTAATCCTGAGCAGAGCAAGGCAATGTGGGAAGGTGCGCATTTCTTTGTGATTACGACATCATCTTCAGGCTTTTTTCTGACGCTCTTTGATTATCATAGCATACTACAACGCCGGATCGGCGGCGCTTATCCTCCTCGTTGTTATTGTCGTTTTAGGCACATTTATCTGGTGCAGGATACGCCGACAGCGCGTCCAACTGCCTGCCAACGGCTCGGGTGCCTATCGTGACGGTGCGGTCGGTTACCAAAGCGTTGCCGCAGAAGAACAGATTCCATTAACGGAGTCAGTGTCTCGAGGCAACCTCAATGAGGACGACTCGGTGAACGTCAAGGGTAAGGGCAAGGCTCGTGCCGATGAAACAGAGTCAAGTGAGGCTCTCTTCGATGTCGGAGAAAGCGACGACGACGAAGATGCGAAATCATATTACGACCGACACAGTCCGCGAGCAGCAAGCCCATAGCGGTTCGTCGTAGCGGTTCATGTAAAATGTGTATATGGGTAAATTTGGGCCATACTTTCGCACTGTTGATCCCCGAATCTGGATTCGGAACACTGTATCGATTGTTCGTGGTGTTGCAAGGGGTACTGAACCTGCAAGTTTGGTGAGCTTCGCTCTGTGCATATGATCCAGGAACAGATTTCTCTGGATATCAGTCTCAATCTTTGAAAACTCCGTTCACGCTTGTCCCCCCCGCATCTGGTGCTGTTGTGCGCGGGGTGTCCTATTTTGGTTGACCCCTGACCAATGATCTCCGTTGATCAGGAAGGCAACCTGAGGCAAATCGGCGTAAGTAGTTCGGCGTCGACTGGCGTCGGTTGCCGGCGACGGTGACGGCGGCCGTCACATTGTGAACTGTTGTGAATCGTCGTTGCTCTGACGATTCGCGTGAGAACATTCGGGCTTCTAGTCAGAAGTGCGACAATTGGCGCGTGCGCCTCAAGGCCCTCTGGGATCTCGGGGTGCCACCACTCTCGACGCTATTGTGTCCGTTGTGTACCATGGCGATGTTCCCTATCGAGGGTGCGCTGGCAGACACGGGCTCAGTGCCGGTATAAAGCTGGCTTGGGTTGTTACTGGAGTCTCCACCACGCCGTCTTCTCTCGTCCTTATTCTTTACTTTCGGTGTTGCGGCTGTCTGTGACTGCCTTTCTTATTCTTGTGTTTGAGGTCTCCACTTTCTTCGCCTTTTCGCCTTCACAGTCTCGCGTACCCATTCTTTACCAGTCTATCTAGAACTACTGCAGACGTCATGTTTTCTCTCTCTGCGTCCGCCATGGCTATCGCGCTCCTGCTAGCAGGTCGTGCCCTTGGTCACGGCAAGATTAGCAGTCCTCCTGCGCGTTCTGCCACGATCGGCTCTGCGTTTGAGGATGCATGTGGCAGCACGCTGTATAGTCTCGAGACCTCCGACCCGACCGGCAACATCCAGCAAATGCTGCAGAATATCCAGTCGGGCACGACGCTGAACTCCTCCTGCGATCTTTTCCAATGCAAAGCTTATCAGTTTGCGGACAACAAAGCCAATGTACAGTCGTACACCGCTGGCCAGGTGATCCCAATAAAGATCGACATCGTCGCGCCGCACACTGGTGTCGCGAATGTATCTGTCGGTGAGCGCTTTGCCTTTGTCTGCATGTGAGGATGTAGGACGCTAGTTTTTTCTTCCGCAATGCAGTGGACACTGCTTCGAACTCTATACTTGGTGGCGAGCTCATCTCGTTCACCAACTACGCAAGTACGAGCACTGGTGTTGCCCCCAATAACACCGCGTTCTCTGTCACCATGCCCGATGTCAGTGACACTTGTACTACGGCTGGCGCTTGTGTCCTCCAGTGGTAGTAAGTATCCGGGTTTGTAAGCGTTGGAAAAATGCGGTCTGGCTAACCACTTGGTTAAGCTGGTTTTCAGAGGAGGTGGACCAGACGTACGAGGATTGCATCGACTTTACGATGGGCTCGGGATCCTCCAGCGACTCGAGCGATGCGGCTTCTTCCGCTGTCGCCTCCGCTACGGAATCCGCCGCCGCCGCGACGTCCGAGAGCGCCGCTGCACTCGTCGCCACGGCGGCGAATGTCGCTGTTACGTCGGCGGCTGCGAGTGCGTCGTCCTCCGATGGCGCCTTGGTCTGCCGTAGGATCGATTGAGGTTGTGGCATGAGGAGTACCTGCTGTAGCTCATCATCTACCTTCAAGAAATCAAGACTTTTCACTGCTCCATATCTTTTCCCTGACTGTATCGTCTTGACTGCTGTAGCCTTTGTTATAGACTTTTTTTGCAAGTTGTTTTTGTTTCACACGTCCTGATCAGTAGAGGTGCCAATTCTACAGACAGATCTTCCGTTGAGGATAACCTTGGAATTTATCCTCAACTTCCTGAGCGATATATATAATCAGGTACTTATTGTCCATTGCTGAGCAAACATCTCATGAGCGATTGTGGATGAGGTGTACCTATGTGTATAAAACTAGCAAGCACATGGTGACAGTGTCATAGATCTAATGAATTTCCCTGCTATAATATTTTCATGTGCAAAGCCCACATGCCACCTTAGATTATATGACCCCTGACAACGTAAACTGAGTGAAGCCGCTGGAAGAGAAAAGGGAATTGTTAAGATAAATGATATGTATGCAGAAAGCTTTTCAAGGCAAAACATGGGAAAACACCTACTCTGTATCCTTTGCACATGTCCGCACTGAGGATCGAACTCAGGATCTCCGGATTACACACTGATCTAAAGTGTTCATACGACTGTATGAGACCGGCGCTCTAACCAGCTGAGCCATGCAGACATGTTCAGGTTTTGCAATTACAGCTTCATAACTCTCAGACAACCTTCATGTGCGTACCCCACACTAAATAAATAACCATGGACACAACAACATCCTTCAAAACATCATCATATTTATGTTTAGTATGTCATAAAGTAAGTAAAATACAACGTGTGTGATAATATATAATACCCGGCACGAAATACAAACATGGATAAAAAAAAATGAATTATTGAACTCACGCACTCCCCGTGACGACGCCTGGAAATGTGGTAACAGACCCGACACTAAATGTCGCCAGAAAGCATGGGACAGCGCACAAGAGACCGAGGCCAATTAGCACAGACCCTGTCAAAAAAGGAAGGGATAAATATCCAGTGGAACGTACGTCGCGAAAGAGCGATTGAACTACACCAGGAGGCGAAAGAAAGGAACACCGGACCGAATAAGAAATACGCGCCGCGTATTCTACGAGACGCCTAGGGTAAAATGTTCGCCCCGAGAACTATGGAACAACACCGGTGGCCACAGCAACGTTCTCGCCGAAGGGCAGATGCGGCGACTTGATTTCAGGGGCGACCTTTTGTGGGAAGGGTTTAGCAGGCGGCACATTCACCGGCGTCAGCGGTATAGGCGGAATGTCACGGTCGGCTGTTGCTTTCAAGGCGTTCTCCTGGCTTGCGGAGGCGGGGTCGGAACTGCGGGCGAGCGTTGTGGCGTAGATTTTGTCGACGCACAATTTAGTGACGGAGGCGGAATATCGGTCAGCCTAGGCGCATTGGTCAAGTCCGAGTGCACCAACCGTCGTTTCTTGTTCGGAACATCCGGCGACGGGTCACTCGATTTGCCAGTAATCTTGAAGTATTCATTGACACCAGTCGTAAGTGACCTCCCTGAAATGGCGGACGAACTCCTACCTTGCCACGTTTTGGAACGCGAGGTTGTCTCTCACCAAGGTCGAATACATAGTCAGGCAGCGTTGAACTGTGGAGGAGGCGCAATGAGCAAGGAGACATAATGAAGGACAAGTTTACCAAAGACAACCTCTTGATGTGACGAACAACAATACCCATGGTTTGCTCGTCATAGCTATCCCACAGTTTAACCATCTTCGTGAACTCGGTTGTGGGATACGAAATGTCTAATTTACGCGGTCCGTTCTGTCCCGCTAAATTAAGAAATCAGAAGAAGACTGTATAGATGATGACAGCCTCGAATACTTTACCTGGCTTCGGGGATATAGCCAGACCGATGTAGAATGTTGTCGAATACACAGGATTCGCTTTGCCATCGCTCACGTCTTCTGGCTTCCGCCTTGCAATCGCGTCAGAGACCTCACCCTGTGCTACGCGTTGTATCTCTTCTGTAGATACGCAGTAGTGCACTTGGTCAAAACCTTTGATGAACGGGTGTGCTAAGGTGAGAGAATCGACGTATTCGAGTTTCATCACAAGCTGTCGTAATCGCGACTCAACGGTACCAGCCCTAAAAGGAACTTTACTTGGACGGCTCATCAGGATACTCACAACATACCATTTTGTCTGCGTTTCAGGATCGCCAGTTGAAGCGATGACTTGTAGGTAATAACGGTACTTGTGGAAGAAATCATGTTTTTTGAAAAGTTCCGACCAAGTCGCACTTCCGACAATGACCTTATCAACAATGTCAGCACCTATAACCAATGTTCAGCGCTGAAACTTATTCACATAAGTTGACAGTCACCGACCTTTCTTGAACTCTTCCGTCATGATCATCTGTGTCGAAGCAGTGACGTTGTGTGTTGAGCACATAGCAGGGTAAGCAGGAGTTATAATAGGCATTCGATGCGACCTATCGCTGGGATATAACTGCACAGAGGATGAGCACCGTCACGAGTATATACGATAACAAACCTTCGGATTCCACACGCGAACCTGTAGAGGTCCTTCCTCAATTTGTTTCAGAAGTACGGGTTGTGGCCAAGCCCTACAATGATCAGTGCCTCTGCATACTTTATGGTTAACATGCATGGCCAAGGCTTACCACTGGTACATGATAATGAAGAAGCGACTAACTATAGCACCCGCAATGGCGTTTGGGTACAGCTGGCAGACACGGGCAACAAGCATAGCCCACGCCACGCCACCTAGAAATCCATTGACGTTGGAATATATTGCTCTCCCTGCGTTGTTGTTAGAAGGATTCACAAACTAGCGCATAACACTTACGTTGAGCCCATAGCTTTATGCATCGCAATGCATCCCGAAAGACCTGCACGTTTGGTACAAGTCGGAGCATCTCATCAGTGACGCGTGACCCTACGATCGGATACCTCAGTTTTCTGAGAACAGGCCAGTGGATGATACGAACCGCCCAAACTTCGAACACATCGCTCGTCGATATTGCGAAGAAGATTGTCGTCCTGCAGAGAAAGATCATCGGGTATAGTTGATAATGCCAATCGTGCCATTAACAAATCTATTGGTATTCCCGATATTTTTGTCTTGATGATTGGCACGTATGCTTCAGGCACACCCTGCATATCGAGATTGAGGATAACTCTAGGTCAAGAAAACATTTAGGAGGAGCGACCGACCGATACTTCGGTGACACCCTCGACTTCACGGAGCATGGGTTCAAATGTAGTGAAGAAATCCTCGCGAGATACATGCTTAGGTACAACACATAGTGTATCAATGTCGGACCCAGGGCCGTGTACACCAAGGCGGTAAGACCCAAAGGTGAAAATTTTGCCTCCAGCTGCGTTGGCAGCAGCCTCTGAAAGGCCACGAGCAAGTGAGACGGTGCGTACGAATTTTTTGACAAGGGCAGCAACACGACCGAGTACGATTTCTCTGGGATGGACAGTCGTTAGATGAACGAGACCACACGAATATTTGGGATGCGAGAAGACCAACGAAGACTCACCGCCTTTGGGATTCTTCCTCAGACTCGAAAGTGTTCTGCCGCCTAAGTTCTTCCATAAGGGTAACTGTTACCTCCTTCTCCCTCTCGGAGGATGGAGCGGTGGAGATGGGGTCTGTCACTCCTAGAGTTCTGGAAACGGGTCAAAAAGACAAACATTGCCAAATAGACGGGATATGGCGCACTCTCGATTAGACGACATGATGCGAACAACGGCAGACGCGTTGGAGTGTGGAGAAAGGATGTTGGAAGAAGTGCAGGTAGGAGTAGAAGAAGGACAAGTGTACTGACGAATCACGGTCTCGGATGTCACTGTGCCCGCGGCCCGTCTGCACCACGTGGCCACCGGTATCAACAACAGTCAACAACGCGCTCACGCGTCTTGTGCTCTTCTAACGGCGTTTTGTATCTTATTTCTGATATTCTGGCATTCCTGGCCGTTCAAAACGGAAACAGTTGACTCTGTCGATTACTGCTGGGCATCGTTATGTCGCCAAAATACTGGCTTTTGAAGGCCGAACCCAATTCTCGCTTCGTCAAGGGCAAAGATGTCAAGGTCTGGTCATTTTCTTTCTTGTGCCTTTTCCATAACATCTACCACAATTTATATACTACTTAGGTAGATCGTAGATACAATGTATCGAGGAAGACCATCACCTTATAACGCGAGTTCACAAACATTTATAAACTGATTTCGTAGTTCAGCATAGATGACTTTGAGGCGGTCAAGGTTTCTCCTTGGGAGGGTGTTCGCAATTATGAAGCCAGGAATTTGCTGAGAGAGATGGAAATCGGAGATAAGGTACGTGTCCTTGTTGTTTAGCACTGTGTTGACTGACTGAAATCAATGGATTCTCAGGCATTGTTCTACCATTCGAATTGCAAATGTCCAGGTACGGGATACTAGGGCTCTTCCCTGACTGGATTTCAAACAATCGCCTCTTGTTATTGCTCTTCAGGCGTGGTAGGTTTTGCTGAGGTTCGTTTCGTCCCTATACCATAATTATCATGAGGCGAATGTTGGCCTTCCCTGCAGGTATCCAAGAAGGCATATCCAGATCGTGCGGGCTACACTTCTAACCTCGCTGCAATGTCCCTGATTACTAGTTCCCTGACCTAGACACCGCTTGGGATGAGTGAGTAATATCTTTATCCTTGATATGGTTTCCCCCCTCAACGTTGGATACATTGGAAGATCGCACCCATACTATGACCCAGTAAGCCCTATTATCCTCATTATGATCTTTCGACTCGAGTCGATTTTCTAGAAAACAGACAGAGACAACCCTCGTTGGTACATGCCCGACGTTTCATTCGTTACGCGTGTAAAATATTTCGTGCCTCTCACCCTCCTCAAGTCTATTGTATCATGCAGCAGTCCGAACGATCTTGGTGTGGGATATATTGGCGACGAAGGCGTCGCTGCTGTCAGAGGTAAGCTGAGTATTTTGACTACTTCATGAACGGGTTTATCGAGCCTGTCTTGTCCCTGCCTTTGTTTATCTTGAAGCCATGACTCTGATTACGCGTGGGCGCCTAAGTGTGCAACGCGTCGAAGAAGATGCTTGGAAGGCCATTGAAGCTCTTACAACGCGCGGGGGATGGGACGAGAGTGCAACGGGTGGTGGCGCCTCGAATGGCAGGAACTCAACTGGGAAATCGAAATCGAAAGGAAAAAGTGCGACTGCAGAAAAAGATGGTTCACCAGACGACAAGAAACCGGTCGTCTCACAGGAAGACGCCTCGACAAAATCGATTACGATTAAGCGACCCGGCAAGCGAAAAACTGAGGAAGCAGAACCGCAACGGTCGACGAGGCGAAAGACATGATTCTAATGGAATGCTATGGCACAAGATAATATGGTACATGTCTAGTGGATCTCCAGTATATGCAAAGAAAAATTCAGCTCAAAAGCTCCGTGTATTGCGACCTTCATTAACATTCACGAAATCTGCTATTCTAGTGCTCTGAGGTCCGAAGCCGATCGTTAGTCTGCTACATTGTAAGGATCGGTCACCGGTCTATAATGGTTGTTCTCATTTGGTCGTTGCATTAGAACTCACACACATACAATCGTGAGAAAACTCGAACACGCTAGACCCATCAGCGTACCCTT